CAGCAAACGAGGACGATAATAGCGCCGATGGTTATCTCACAGGTGAAACATCCCCCCCGCTTGACCAAAAGCACCCCCGTTGACCAAAATCATTACCGTTAACACGTGCAGAGACACCTCCTGACGTTCACAGCGCTGACACTCGCGGTCACACGAAAGCCCATGTGTACGTTGTGAAGAATGGCCGGAGAGTCAAGTCAGCATTGATACTGCCGCAACCAACGAGCGAGATGATTGCCGCAATCGACAGGGATTCAGGCGAATTCGCGTCACATAGATGGTCCGTGCGAAACACAGCACCTCGAACGTCATCGAGGCACTGTCAAACCAAAAGTTGTCGACTGCCCGCAAGTCCACAAAAACTTTATTCACCAAGCATGTATCTGCTGCCGTGCGTGGACGAAAACTGTCCTTTCAGCTCAAGGGCTCGGCGGGGGGCTACATGGTCAAGGGCGACCCGATCTACTCCCTCACCGCCAACAAGCACGGGCTGCACGTTCGCTTCAGCAACCTGGAGTCCATCGAAGACTACCACGACGGCTTGGACATGCCGCTGGACTGGGATGCCGCCACCGGGGAGTGGGTGCACGTGGAGATCATCACCACCTTTGGACAGTCCATGGAGGTACGTGGAAGTGACCTCGACGACTACGGTTGTGCGCCGTATTAGAATGTCCTTGACAGACCCATCAACTCACTGCATCAGCAGCAAACTGGCAAGTCCCGGAGGGTGCCAATGCGTCAGATTCGCGTTCTGCCTTGAGCCGAAATATTGAGGCGTGCCATCAGTGTTGTTTCTTTCTTTTGCTGACATGGATGGGTTATTCACCCCTTGCACCCGCTGTTCCGAACGACGGCTGGTGTAGTGTTGATTTCTTAACTACCAGTGAACCTTCCGGCAATGCTTGTTGTTCGCGTGTTGGCAACAGGTGAACATCTCTGGAGCCGTCAGCGGAAAGGCTGTCTGGCCGAGTGACCTCAAGCCCGTGGCCTGGCACCGCGACTCCGAAATGGTCCGGATGAAGCTGGGTCTCTACCACTCCATTCACAATGTACGTCTCGCCACCCTGCCTTGCTTGGATGCCCGCCCGGCCGCCTTCAGAATGTTGTCTTCGGGCTAGTAAATATTTTTCCACAAGTTCAATGTACTTGGGGAAGTACCGTCCTCCAGATGTCGTCACTCAACATCGGCGACGTAGGATCGAAGTGGCAGTAGTAGCACCATGAAATCTGCGAGTATTGCAAGGTCGCAGTCTCGTTGCGTGATGTTCGGGAGAAGAGCAGTACCGAGCGAGTTTCTTTGTTCTTTTCGTCAAAAATTTGGGTCTTTTGATGGTCTTCGAGGTGAACTTTTTTGGCGATTCTTTTCCAAGGAACGACGATCCCGTGCTCAACACAGCCTTGCAGGAACATGACGTTCGGCAAAAGAACACGTGTCGCGTCGTTTTCTCTTCTTAAATCTTGGTATCTTGGTGACTAACATGTAAACCTACATAAGGTTTCGACGAACCGGTCATTCTGATGTGTGGTGTTGCCCTTGTGCTTCTCGCGTACTCGGTATACATTCTATCCGCAGGCCGAGGACGAATCGAAAGAGTTCTCCACCTGTGTTGTATAGTCGGGGCCCCGCACAGACGGCCCATGCACTTCTTGCCCAAATTATCTCCTGAAAGATCATGATCCACCACCGAAACGGAAATGAAAGGTCACGATCCACCACAACCGATAAGTTGCATCGATGATTCACCTACAACCCGCAGGTTCATGACCAGGAGGTCATCTATCAGGATATTTCGATCGAGGGACCGAACGGCATCATCCGGACAAGCCCCCACGTCGACGACCCGACAAACACGTGCTCCGTCGATTCCTCTGTGAGTCTACTTTGACCATGTCAGGGTTGCCCCCCTATGTAGCAGTAGAAACATTCCGTATTCGATACGATACATGGACGCATCTGCCGTTATGTGACAATCGAAAAGATCGCACGGTCCATCAACCCGAAAATCTCCCCCGTCGCAATTGTAAGGAAGAATATATTGCGACGTGACTCCCGTTTGGGGGTGAATATCATCCATTCAGCCCCGCAAACACGTCCCCAATATTTTGATGACGTCAAGGCAATGTCCACTGATCTGAATACAGAATATATTTGGCTGAAGCCCACTATGGTGGGTGACCCACCGTCATATTCTCCTCATTTTTTCTCATTCGGGACAACGTCTCCTCTGTCGTACATGCCGAATGTCTTGTCGCCAAAAGGGGCAGTGCCAGCAGACAGACATCACGTGCACAGCTCTCAGCGGCAACACCATCGACTGGGAATGCGTTTTCGGCTACGGTTCTTTGGTGGAGGTTGAGGCGCGGGGAGGGACATTGACCTCGTGCTCTGCCGGCACGAAAGTAGAACCCTGCTCCAGGTGCGAACAAGAACATGCACATTGGTAAGAATGACGTAACGATCAAGGGAATTGTCCCGTGTCGCCGAGAAATTATATACCATGGAACGTGCAATTTTTGTGTATTCTGACAACATATATCTCTGGTTGATTCCCACCCAGCCGGAATTATGAAGCAAGTGAAACGCTAATATTAAAACGCCCGTCCGTGCACCATACGCGGAAGGGCATCTCTCGAACAGCGCCGTGCTTGGTTATCTTGACTTCGGCGGCTTCATGCTTGATTCATCGCCCTTCTTTGCCGCACGTTCGCTTCTTTTCTCCAGGTTCATCGTCCCCGAAGACAAAGAGCGCGCCGAAGTCTTGGTGCAGCAAGGCGTCGGGGGCTTCCAGTTCGCAAAGGGTAAGCCTCGTTTCGGCGTCGGGACTCGACGAACGCAGGACGGGATACATCAGATCATTTGTATTGGCGTCCTACGCGGACACTCTCGTGCTTAAACTGTCCCTGTCTGTACCCTTTAATTAGTTCGTTCCGAAGTGGTAACTGCTACGCAACCAAGCGCAATCTGTCCTGCTGGTATATGGATTCGGGCTTCGTGGTCTTCTATCGTGGCCTCCTATTGGATTTGCTCGCCTCGCCGACGTCCAACTATACCCGCCCCGTTGGTAAGCAGTACCCTGCCCGCCAAAACGAGGCATCCATAGACCATCATCACTCAAATCATGCGATGACGAAATGAGCACATGCTGAGCGGACGGAATAGGTGTAGATACTTCATTCCGACGGGATGCTGATCCATTTGTGCGGGTCTCGAACCATAATTTATTTTTACCATTGAAGATGCAAACTTTCCCCACTCATCCTGCCACACCCCGAAGGCGAGACCTACATTTTCAAGTACAGCTTCAAAGCGAAGGACGGCATGAAGGTTTCCGGGTCCTCCAGCCGGTTGGGCCAGATGAAAGGCGTTTCGGGAGGCTTTCAGCTCTTGGGAAACCCCCTGTTCTCCGTCACGGCCAACAATGACGGAATCAACGTACGTTTCAACAACGATGAATCCGACATTGTCGAGGGTATGGACGAGTTCCTGAGCTGGGAGGACGCCACAGGAGAGTGGGTCAACGTCGAAATCCAGACGACCTTCGGGAAGTCCATGGAGGTGTGGATGCGTTGCCTACTGTTGATTGGCGTGTCCATGTCATCGCCATATCACGAGACTTCAAATGAGCATCTTACCCAGGGAACAACCGGAGTTGCTCCGCAACATCATCTCGACATATAGGCTAAAAGTGGCGAACAACGTGCATGCAGTTAAATTCTCACGAGGTACGCTCATTGGGTCATACCAACGTGTTGTGTCGGAAGCAGGTACTTCCCCATGCTGTTTCGAAGCATACTTATGGCAATAGTCTTATGTATGTAGTCGTTGTTACAGTGTTGGTTCTTCGAGAATCAAGCCATCGCTTGAGGCGAGACACGCTACGCCACCCCCGTCTGACTCGTGGGATACCCTCCCTACCGTTCAACTTCAACCAAGGTCCACTTCTCGGGCGCGGTGGAGGGTAAGGCGGTGTGGCCTTCCAGCTACAAGCCCGTGGCCTGGAATAACGACGCCGACACGATGATGTTCAAACTCGGACTTTACCACATCAGGAACAAGGTGGAGTGCTCGCAGGCAGGACTGATTGCATGAGGTGGAGTATACACTGTGTGCCATATTTGCTTCGGCGTCTTTGGTACCTGAAGTCCTGCGAACGATCAATTATTATTGTTTGATTTCCACCTGGCAGCATGACGATGCACCAATCTGGACCTTCATTGTTGATATAAGCAACTATTTTGCCTCTTCTTGATGTTGGCTTTTCAGGTCACCACAAGTCACAACAAAAGGTTTGCCAAGCTCATGTTTGAAGCCCCTCGGACGTTTGAAGTGATGATGTTCTTCTTGAGTACCTTGTTTTCCTCGCAACGTCCGCGAGGTAGATTTCAACGCTCTGCGGTGCGCTAACTGGGTGCTAGGTTCTCGTTAACCTCTGTATTCGCCCGTCTGTATCTCAATCGCTTCCTCGCAAGGTGGCCGACGCGGAGGTGGAGTATAAAAACATCTCCATCCAAGGACCCGCCGGAACAATCAGGACTAGCGCCTTAGGCGTCAAAAACCACGGCAGTCCCGAGGGAGTTATGTACCTCGGATGCGTGAAGGACAGCCGCGACGACCGCCTTCTGGATAGCGTATACCGGAGCAGCGACTTGACGACCGAGGTGAGGCCGAGCGGTCGTAAAAACAACGTGTAAAGCTCTTTCCTTTTCATGTCGGTATTCTCTCGTGTGGTTCGCATGGCGACCTGATCGATTGAGCGCGCAATTCGCCCTGTAGGGCGTTCTTTCGGTTTTCGTTTCAATGGGAAAATTTATTGGTTTAGATCGTGAGCGTGATCATGATGATGACTCAGTGATCGGGTCTTGATCACGTTATGATCCCATCATGGTCGGGTCACCACGAGTCATGATTTCGGTCATTATCGATGACGGAACCGATCATGATCGGATCACGACCCACTCATGACCGGGTCATGACCCTGTGATTGTCCATCTCTTTTGCAGGAAGTGTCGACAAGAGACTGTCGGATCATGACTAGGTCGTGATCTCGCCATGATGGCGTCATTTACCGAGTCGTGATCGTGCCATGAGCGGGTCGCGATGAGTGGGCCATGACCGAGACCTGATCATGTCATCGCCCGCCGGTCTGTCTAGATTCATCGTATCAACGTCAACCTCGCACCTACGCCCGCACTCTCACCTAGAAGTTGTCCCATCAAGGCCAGGCTAGCGCCAATGCCGGAACACCAACGTAGAACTTATCCACCCAGCGCCTACCTAGTACCTATCGTGTCGGCTTGGGGAAAGGGGAAAGGGTTGTTATAGTTAGCGTTGGGATTATTGACGGTTTCACGCCCCTGCCAAAGCAGATATTCTATTGTTTGGGAGCACCAGAAAAGCATTGGGTGTAAATCAATTGGATACCGGGTGGAGGGATAGAAGACGATGGTGTTGCAGAGCAGGGTATGGGGACATGAACATTTCCCCCCATCTTGTTTCCTGCATAGGGTGTTTTCCGCCTATGGATGCATGGCTTATTTGCACACCCCATACCCAGGCCATGGTCGAGTGATGACCAGCTCATGAAGAAACTGGCCATGACCTACGAAACCATAACCACCATGTCATGGCCAATCATGACCAGTTCATGACCCGTTCTTGCTCGAGTCGTGACTCGGCCGAGACCGAGTCATGATCTGAGCACGACTCGGCCATGGCCGAGTCTTGACCCGATCACGACCGGGCCATGGCCTGGGCATCACTGCGGTCGTGACCTCGATCACGACGTCACTCAATCTCGTGATCAAGTCATGACCCGGGCATGGGTCATAACTGGGTCATGATCGCAGTCATGCCCAGTCATGACCGAGTCATCGGTTCATGACCGAGTCATGACCCGATCAGAATCACGATCATGAGAAAACCCAACCATGGGAAAGCCCCTGTTCGTTCCCAGATTCTGTGCGAACCGTCTCGTTCAGGTTCGACTGGAACCAAAGTCACCGGCATGGGGATCCCACTGTCAGTGGGAAAAGCAATTTGTATTTCTGGTATGTAGTCTGGCACATGGATGCGGAATGTGAATGCTTCCCGTCGCCGGCCCGTTGCATCCACCACGTGCTGACAATGCTTTCCTTGCCTCTCTTCACCGCCCTGCTACACCAAAAGATGTGCGCCACGTACTGCGAGGGCGACGACTTTTTCGGGATGCAGTACGGCTCAGAGGTGAGCGGATCGATGAGGCGCGATTATTCTTCGAGTTAAACACGCCTTCCAACTCTAAGCGTTAAACCTTTCGGCACCCGGGGTTCAACCGCCGAAGACTCGCAGAGCTAGACAAAACGTGCACGTTCTGCGCGAGCTGCGAACGTGTATCGTGACAGTATCAGGCAACGTTCCAAATTTCTAACTTTTCCCTGCCGTTAATTTGTGTCACACTCCGTGGAGACTTTCGTATCTTACACGGCGGTGAGTTCCGCGGCACTCTACAATGAACACCGCCGGGGGGGGGGGGGCACGTTTTCACGCGGCCTTTGATTGTGATGCTACAGCGGATTTACTAAGCTTCGAAACAATATCCGATCAGCGGTCCATTGCATGACTCGGCTCTTGTACCAAAGTGGCAGGATGAGAATCCGAACGAACACTCTCCTTGCATGTCGGCACCCCCCCTCTCGCCACCCTCCCGTCCTACTCGAATCCTGACAGTGCTGGTGCGGATCTACAGATGAGAAGGACGACGAAGACCTCTTCCGCCACGGCTCGACCACCTGTGAATACCCTTGCGCTGGAGACGAAGAGCAAACCTGTGGCGGCTACTGGGCCATATCGTTGTACGAGTACGGCAGCGCTCTCGCAACCGACATCCCGGAGGGATCAAGGTACCTTGGCTGCTACAGCGACCATCGCTTCGAACGTGCTCTGTCCCTGAAGCTCACGACGAGCAACGACATGACACACGAGGTGAGTCATCGTTGGACAACGATTGCTTCATGATTCCATGACTAGAAGAGGAAATATAACGGCTATCGCCCATCAAACGAGACGAGGGATGCGAGCGTAAGCTGCCTTGTTCTCGCGATTTTGTTTTAGATTTGAGCAGCATGGTCGGTTCTGCAGGTCGATCACGTTGATGGAATGGGCTCTATGTAAGTTATGGGCTCTATGTAAGTTACCGCGACACACACGTAGCTACAATGAGCTCTCCACAACTATCCCTTAGGCAACTGACAAAGTACGCAGTCGTTGCACGTCGTGCACGAAGACGCTTCTTGGCCCTCGCCCGGTTTCGCTGTGAAGACTCACCCTCCCCCCACCCCTCTGTCGCCGCGATCTGTCGCCGCGTTCAATCGCTCCTCAGTGGTGCATGGATTTCTGTTCCGAGTTCAACGCCAAGTACTTCGCCGTCCAGTGGGGGAGAGAGTGAGTTCCGGCTTGCTCGATGTTGTTATTGTCGTCTTCTCAAAAGAAACTGTTCCGATCTGTCTATCCACACCTTCTTCTGTCCTTACTACACCAGGTCTGAAAGGGCAAGTTGATATTGATACACGGAAGGGTGAACCAAGTTCGTTTGTGCATTCTTGTTTTGGCAGGTGTTTCTGCGGAGCTGCAGACGAGGACTACGACCGGTATGGAACGGCGACGTGCGACACGCCGTGCAGCGGCGACCCAAGCCGCATTTGTGGAGGCAGCCTGGCACTCACCACGTTCATGGTCTACTGATATTCTCTTGTCGGTTCTTCTCCCACGGAAGGATGGAGAGAAGCTAAAAGAGAGCGTGACTGCAGACGCCACGTGCCGACGCTATATCAGCCACTGCACTCGATCACCGCACATAGAAGAGCACCCAGCACAAGGTCAAGCACCACCTCTCTTACCTCATGTATTTCATTTTCACACCTCACACAACGGTAGGTATACATACTGTCAACAATCGCCGAGGGCTTTCCTAGCAGCTATAGTCGGGTGCCATTGGGTTGAAGGTCTCCGTTGCGTCAATACCGGTTACCCTTTTGAACCAGGAACGCATAGATAAACAAACGCAGAAAAGGTGTCACCACTCGAGAGCCTAATGTTCTGACCGAGGCTCGTTCCTGATTTCTCCGGGGAGCTAGTACAACATTGGTATTGTGAGGGGTTCTGTAACTGAGCACCCGTTCTTATCAAGTCAATCAAGTCCACCGTTATTATTTTGTTTTTAGCCTGAATTCCTTACTTCTTCCGTTGCAACGTGGTGGCGCACTGTATTTATATGTGGTCCCTGTCTTGTTGTTTTGTATGCAGAATCATCCATGAGAAAATGAGTGTGACGGGTGTTTGGTCTGGCAGTTGTCTCCTTAGACCACTCCTCTCCAAAGGCATTCCTGATGATATAGGCGATGACTTTCCAGCACTTGTATAGTAAAGCGCCGCTAGACTACCGAATATCTTCAGGTCATGTGTTTCGCGTCTTTTGCGTATTTGTGAAGTGAGTGTTGGTAGGAACGGTTCAGGTTGCGACCGAATTTGGTTGTTTTCCAACATCTCTCGGGCTGAGTTGCGTGTGTCTCGATGTTAACATGCTCAGCTTGGTGACCGGAGTTGGTTGTTTTCGAGCATCTTTGGGAACGGTATGTGGATACCTATCTATGCGTGTTCATGAAGATATTTTCGGATTGCAGGTCAAGAGTCGAGCCCGTAAGCTATAAAGGAAAGGTGGCAGGCGCCCAAGCATGTCTTTGTGCGTTGAATTGGTTTGCAGGAGTGTGGGAGTCTTGTCTTTTCCCTTTTATCACCTCTAGTTGCTTCACTATGCTCGAGTACTACGTTCAAATGCAGCTTGTCTGGTTGTACAGTAATTTATGGAAGTAGTCATTTTTCACGTATTTGCGAGCATTCACCGTCAGTAGGACTTGGTGATTCAGTCGGTGCCCAGCAATTCCACCGGTGCCATGCAGAGCCACCGGCGTTTTCCAAAAGGCGTTGCTGAGGGCCCACTACTGTACTTTGTTTTCGTATCAGTATCTTGGAAGGTCGGACTTTTCTGTGCTGCGCCTGGAATTCAGTGTACACAAGCAGGCCACAGCTCTCGGAATGAGTGAATGAATTCCACCTTGCAGGATTTGGGTTTGCACGGGAGTGCTGCAGGTGCCGGAACTGCTGTTCATTGGCAGAACGATTTCACAGGTAGTTTTCGAGAGATTGTGAACACTGTATGAAAAGTGCCGCACAAAACGTCATTGCTTTTTCATTTCCTTCGACCAGATAGAGGAATGACATGGATCACCAGTTGCACGTATCTTTGGACAATGTTTCGATTTGAGTGAAAATCAGGGAAAGAGATTCAACAGCGCACATTATTATGCGGTTGAAACAATATTATACTTCATTGTATCAGGGGACGGCCCCAAAACGTCTCCGTGGCGATGACAAACCACTGTTTGCGTTCGTCGAGGACTGCACGGGCTTCACTACGCACGAAGTGAGTACGCGTACATTCATGTAATTTTGTTTGTCCAAACATTAACAAACCGTTCCGGTCTCTGCTTAGTCCCTCCACACATCCTTACCGACCCAACGACACGGACGCAGTCCGTGGTCACAGACCCAACTACCGAAAAAAGGGCACACACTTCAACTTCCGAAAAAAGGGTACACACACGTCAGCTACCCCAAAAAGGTACACACTTCAACAACCCCAACAAGGGTACACACTTCAACAACCCCCCAAAGGGTATACACTTCAACTCCGGAAAAAAGGATACACACTCCAGCTACTACCCAAAAAAGGCACACACTTCAACAACCCCAAAAAGGGTACACGCTTCAAAAACAACCCAAAAAAGGGTGCACACTTCTGGCACGTGGAATCAGAAATCACCAATCAATGCAATAGCAAGTTACAACGCAAACCGAGAGACGAACCAACCTGGAAAAAGGCCCCATCCGCACAAAGAGAACCTGCCTCAAACTCGAATATACCCTTCAAGAAAGAATCTCAAAATACATTCTGAAGAAAACCCACCAGAACATTGCGGTTTCCAGAACGATTCTGCACCGGTTTTCGTCTGGCCAAACGGTTCCCAGGTTCTTCACGGTTTGGCCGTCAACCGACAAAAAAAAAACTGGAAGGGCGACCCACGGAGCTCTTCACACTCTCTGTTTTCTGCTCATCATGTCGTCAACAACAACAATGTTTTGTTGTTGTGCAGTTACGGTATGATCCGTTAATGTTTACATGAACGCCGTTCTGAGTACTGCTCAGTACCTTTTAACATCCGTACCGGCCCCCCTGACGCGGATGCCTTCCGTGGTCACAGGCCAACTACCCAAACTACTAGTATACGCTTCGAAAAAACAATCAACATAGCAAAACAACAACAACTACAACAACAACAACAACAGAGAGCCCCAGCCAGACAACAAGCAGCCGGCGCTGGCAACACATCGGGCAAACGAGACGTATCTACAAACGTAGATCGTCGCCCCCGCTCGGCAAGCAATGCCTATTCAACATGAACTGAACAAAGTCTAACATCCGACCTGCAACACCATACCATTGAACATCCATCCGCTCAAATAGCACAAAATGGTTTATGGATACTAGACACGCTTCTACGGAGTCAGTATATATCAGTTGCTGGGGGGGTGCGAGTGGTGCTTTGCCGCTTCAATTCTATCACATTTTGTGCCTCATCACGGCACCCGCCCCACGGCGCCGCGGAGATCGACCCGCCCCCTGTGCCTTACAGCAAACAAATGCGTATTACGTACGCACCCCCTTTTAACATACTTCTCAGGCACGGCGTCTCTGCCGAGCCTAAACGTTCGCGTTAGGTTTCCCATGCCGCGGAGAATTGTGGACTTTTTTTTTTTTAAGCCCCCAGAAGAGGCCCCCCAGCCCAGAACTGCCAAGCCGCGTTCCTGATGCGAGATTTCCACGTCTGCCGGAATAATCGGACGTATCCCGACACGGAGGGAGAGGAAAGGAAGGGGTGGTCGTGAAGATGTTATTCACTGTCCGTGGACGGCAATAATCCAAAACTTTCAAGCGCGGAATTCTGTTGACTACAAGTATGCTCTTCCTTCGGGTGTAGAGCAAAGCTTGTGGTTGTACGGAGAAAGGATACCCCTGGCCGCGTTGAGCCGAGTCCGGCAGCCCTTGAACGATATCGTTGCCGAGGTGGTGGGAAAATAGGTGGCATGACGGAAGATACAACGCTCCCTGGACAGATTTTTAAATCTCGACTACACCACGACGAAGAAGATGCATAGGTGAAGCGGTATGTTTTCGGAACGCTCTCGACAAGACGGTTCCAACGCCGCCCATCTTCGGCACCACCAATATTTCTGCTTGGGAGAAATCGAGCAATGGAAATCGGTCCAGCGGGTGTGCTATCTTATGTCACCTACGGTGGTAGTGGGCCACGAAAAGGCAACGCATCACCACATTCGTCCGTCACGCAATCCATACCACCTACCATACACCCGGTGGAAGCCAAGAAAAATTCCTAATCCCCCCGCCGGAGCGGCGCACGGTAATTTTCCAACCAATGATGCAAGTTTCATAGCATCCGTGTTGTGCGCCGATCGCAAAGAGAGAGCTGTTCGGCGCCGCGCTTGAGTCGTGGTGCCATCGATTGTCTTCAGACTGTCGACCGTACACGCCGCGTCCCTCCAATAAAATCGGTACACGTCCATTTTGAGGGTGCACATCTTACCTCAATACTTCGTCACCGGTGTTCACCACAGACATACCAGATAGCAATACGGAAGTTTTTTTTTTTGCGACAGGCATAGGGCCCGTTATTCCACTGCACTATTGTTTCTACTACGATAGAAGTTTCGATTGTGTGGTTAATGCAATTTGTGGAAGCTTCCATTTGAGCTCGAGGGAAGCCTTCCACCGAACTCCATGGCATCTCACGGAAGTTGGTCACGGAAGAAGCGTCCCCAAAACGTCCACAAACAAGCCTCCCACCAGCTAGCATCGGCGCCAACTTCCGGTGCCAAGGGTATGCGAAAGTTGCACCCGAATCCAAAAATAATGTACTTTCACCGCAAAAAACAATCTTCACGACACGGTCAGGGCTACGTTGGTGCGAGTGCCGGTCAGGTGGAGCCTGAAATTTTAATAATTGTTTTCTTGGAACCTCATTCACTAAGGAGGTGAACGGTGGCGTTGTTTCTGCCTAGCGTTGGTGCAGCAAAAAACGGTCGCATCGACACAAACCTAGACAGAGATGGAAGCACAGAGTAGGAAGGGTAGGGGTTGTTGGCCACCAACAGACAGGAGAACACTTCGATATATGCATATTATGTAGGAACACAGAGGAAGCTCCGGTGTAGCGGGGTTGGTAGCAGCAGCCAACCGACGAAACTCATAAGAACCGCTGCTCCGGAAATTTCCGTGCTACAAGAAGTCAACCATTACTTGTACGCTAGAACCGTCCCCGGAACCGTCCAATCTCACCTGAGATTTTTCCTGAGAACGTTCCTGGGAACGGTTCGAGGAACGTGTTGAGCAAGTGTGGTAGACTAACTAATCGTTCCGGAATCTAGTCTACATAGTTCTTAAACCTTTCACGACCGTATCATGCATAGGGTTGAGAAAGATCGCTCATTCGCGGATCCAACATCCATGTGCTGCACACAAACCCTGCACTCGCGGTGGCGACGGAATGATCAGAAATTAGTCCTCCAACCAATTCACAGAACAGCAAAATAATCGCACCCTGAGTTTGACTTCGTCCCGGTTCTTCACCACCATTTGCTTCATCGTGTCATCCCACACCACCACTTTGCCCTCCGGAATCACCAACCGCCCGGATGAATCAGAGGTCACACGGGTAGATGGGGCAGCGGCCGGGTAGCATCGAAACGAAGGTGCCGCTGAGGCCAAAGGGGTTGGCGGCGCAGTGCCAGACATGTCTGCGGGTCCACATGACGTCAACGCGAAAGTTTAGTTTGGCAAACAGAGACGCAGAGCAGAGAGAGGTAACTGGTGACGCTGGAGCGCAGACTTAAAAACGCACCACACATGCACAAAAAAAGCGGAAGCAATGGCGTAGGACTACTGTTGTCAATCTAGTGCCGCCGCTGTTGCCCATATATGCAATGTTGCCAGAGCGGGTACGGACGTACCGAGCGGATAAATAGAGCCAGTCGGGGGTATATTTGTAAGGTCAAGTTGTGGTCATGGGGAGCCGACTGTCGTACGGGCGCGTGCTTACGTATATTACGCATTCGACCCGCACTCGGGACCAAAACAGACAACGCGGTAGCGAGGAAGCACGCGTACCTTCCAGTCGAGGTTATCCGCGTCGGTTGTCCGAGGTCAGGTGTGAGGTGGATGGTGTGGTTTGGTCGGTTTGCCGGGGGGCCTCACACACCGAAAATATTGAAGTCACATAGACTACAATACCCCGGTACGCGGCGAGATGCACGAAACAAATCCACCCGACAAATAGGCCCTTCCCCCCGCCGGCGACTTTTTTTTTTAGTATGACACAACGAATCCATCTCTATCATAGAGTCTGAGACAGATTAGCAATGAATTCATAGCGTCAGAAAGTACCTGTGTCTACGGTTTCCCAGACAGCATATAGGGACATCTCCCCTGCGGGTAACAGGCTCAACAAGACAGTTTGGTAGCTGTCTTGTGTGTCTCATTTATGTTATGTTGGGAAGGTGCAAAAGATGTTAGACTATGGTATTTGGACCCTTGGACTAAGAGACCATCTGGGCGGGTATATCTTTCAGGAATATCCCGACCACCTGCCCAGGTTCCTAGTATTCCGACTTTAGGCAGGTAGCAGTACAATGGTTACTAGCAGTAGCAAGCGAGTGCAAGCGTTCCACCTTGCTCAGTGTCTTGCCTGGTGTTCCCTGGTGTTGCCTGACTGCACCTCCGGTTTCACCCAGCACATCCGTGCCTCGTGATACACACCAAACACCCTTCGACACTAGTAGCACACTGGCCGCCAATGATACTCCACTGACCGACAATGCTGCTTCAAGCGATGCCATTCTCGCCACGCAAGCACAAACTCTGCAAAGTTCGGATATGCCTTTTCTTGCTGAAGGGCCTTCGATCGGCATTTCCCACAACGCAAGTGACACGGCAGAACAAAATGCTGCCATCAAAATGCTGCCATCGCCACAACTTCTGCTGTTGTAGAAAACGAGTCTACCGCCATACGCGCCACACCTGAACACGACACTACGCTCTTTCAGCGCACGCTTGACGCCATTGATGAGGATCACTCCAGCGAAATCCGCGCTCTGCCCGACACAGCTATCGCCATGCAATCGACAATTAGCACCGACAATTTTGGCATCGCCGCGTGCCTTTCGCACATCTCCGGAGATCGCAGAACTCGGCATTATTCCATCGGTTGCCGAATCTTCTGCACATAACGCTGCCAATTTCTCGACACTTTCTGGGCCCACTACACCGCCTGCGACACTGCCTGTTGCTTCCGACAATAATGACGCTGTGCTCTCTGCAATTAATGCTGCACTCATGCACTCCACGCCGCATGCCGACGCCCACTTCGCTCTATGGGAACGTGAAAACTCGTTCGATCTTGACACGTTGTTTACCACCCCCCTTCAGAGCGTGACACAGCAGTCTCCCGCCCTATCCCAACAACGGCGTGACCTCATGTACCGTTCTCGCTTTGAGCTCTCGCCTACTGAACTCAATACACGCATCAGCCTACAGCAGCACGCCCGCGCACAGCGTTACGCTGCTCGCACCGCTCGACAGCACAGCGCACCTTGCCCTCCTCGACACCTTACCGAACCACATGGGGGATACCGCAGACTGCTCCAACGTTTGGTCCTTTGTCGATCACAACAAAGACAACGGTGTCTCCACCTC